TGTTACTGCTGATTCTACTACTTTAACCAAAATGACATAATTGTTCTAATCTTTGCTCTTTCTGGTATACCAAGACAGACTGCCTGAGGGTCATAAACAATACTACAGGCCTTGTTCCCATCATGCCTCTCTTCATGCCTAAAGAGTAACCTGATATTTGCTACCTCAGCATAACCAGTGATGTCACAAGCCCCTCCTAGTGATGTCACAGGATCCTCCAATCCCTTAATGCTACCCACTCAACTCCACCCTGGCTCAGGTTAACCCCACCCCACTCCTATACAAAAAGCTCCCTGTTCCTCCATGCTACTTTTCCTTTGTTAGGAGACAGCCTGACAGATCCTCCCTATAATAAATGTTTGTTGTACTCCTGGTCTGGTCCTGATTTTTCAGCTCTTTTACCTAACAATTAGGAAAAAACCCACACCTTTCATAATAGCATTAAAGGCCAGAGATTTAGCTCAGGGGTGCTATGGATTTAGGCAGGAGCCTGGAAAGTGAAAGGTCCTGAGTTTAATCCCTGGTACCGAGTGTGGTGGAGACAAAAACACAATAGCACCCCCAAAAATGAAATACCTAGGATCTAATGCAGGAAGTAAAAGACCTCTACATTGAAAACTACAGTATTCTGTAAAAGGAGATCAAAGAGGATATCACACCAGGGAAACTATTTGGTATTTACATGTGTGTCCCTATTTATTTAACTTAGGAGTATGGCCTCAATGTACATCCATTTAGTTATAAACGTCTCTAGTTTCTCATTCTTTATGGCTGAGTAGTACTCCATTTTATTTTTAAAAAAATCTTCTCTATCCAGTCTTCTGTTGATGGGCAAATGGGCTGTTTCCAAGCTTTACTTATTACAAACTGTGCCACTATAAATATGGGTGCACATATATCACCGTGGTACAATTCTTTTAATTCTTTTGGGAAGATACTCAGCACAGGAACAGTCAAATGGGACCTCTTATCCTAGTTTTTTGAGGTATCTCCATATTGATTTCCACAGTGGTTGCACAGGTCTGAATGCCCACCATCAGTGGAGAAGGGTTCCTTTTCCCCACAACCTCACCAGCATTTGTTATTCGTTGATTTCTTGATAGCAGCCATTGTTTCTAGGGTGAGGTGGTCTCTCAGTGTTGTTTTCATCTGCATCTCTCAAATGATCAGTGATGTTGAACATTTTTTCATATGTTTATTTGCTGCTTTTACTTCTTTCTCTGAGAAATGTCTGTTCATTCCATTTTTGAACTGGATCTTTATATTTGGGGGGAGGTCTGATTTTTTAAAGTTCTTTTTATATTCTTTGTCTGAGGAACAGCTGATAAAATTTTTTCCCTACGTTGTAGGCTGTCTCTTAGCTTAGTGGTTTCTCTCACAGTGCAGAGCTTTTTAATATGATGAGATCCCAGTTCTTGATTCTTTGTGCTAGTTCCTGTGCTACTAAGGTTTTGTTCATAGTCTTTTCCTGTGCAAATGTCTTCAAGAGTTCTACCTAACTTATCTTCCAGCAAGTTTAGTCTTTGTTATAATATTTATATCTTTAATCCACTTGGATTTTAATTTAGTGCATGGTTAGATAGGGGTGTAGTTTTAATCTTTGGCAGGATCAAATGCAGTTTTTCCAATACCATTTATTAAAGAGGCTATCTTTCCTCCAGTGAGTATGGTTGGCTCCTTTGTCAAAGATGAAGTAACTGAGTATGTCTCGAGTTGTTTTGCCTCTTCTAATCAATTCTGCTGATCCTTGGATCTGTTTCTTTGCCAGTACCATGCTGTTTTTATCACAGTGGCTTTGTAGTATGTAGTATCAAGTTGGGGATTGTGATACCCATCACATCTCTGTTACCTAGAACTGCTTTTGCTATTCTAGGTCTCTTCTGGTTAGAAATGAATCTTTGAATTATTTCTTCTAGTTCTGTGAAATATACTTTTGGAATTTCAATCAGCATTGCACTGAATCTGTATGGCAGTTTTGGAAGTATGGCCATTTTCACTATATTGGTTCTTCAGACCCATATATATATGCATACCTCTCTAAGAATGATAAGCTAGAGACATTTCTAGCTAAATGGCTACATCTTGAGACCATACTTTTCAATGAAGTAATCAAATATCGCATTGTTTCTATGATGTGAGAAACTGGAAGTGTAAATAAGGACCAAAATATATAATAGATATTGGCAAATAGGAAGCAAACATTCAAATGAGAAGAGGAACAAGGGAAAGGGAGGAGGGGAAGGAAGGAAGGGACAAGAAAAAATAGACCAAAAGGAAAAAATGGAAACAAAGTTTTTGTAAATAAGGAGAAGAGGGGTTGAAGGTAGGGGAAGAGCATGGAAAAAAAAGAAGCATGCTACATTATGTACAGGTATAAAACCCCAATGATGAATGTGATCATTATGCATATCTAAAATGTACTAACAAAAATGGTGCTGGAAAAAAATGGATATCCAAATGCAAAAGAATGAATTTGGACATCTATTTCACATCACATACAAAAATTAAGTAAATCAGAGATATAAAGCTAAGTGATAAAACTACAAAATACTTAGGATAAAACACAGGAACAAATATTTATAACCTGTAATTAGACAATGCTGTTTTGATATAAAACAAAAAGCATAAACAAAAAATACTGTAATTCATCAAAAATTTTAAAAATATTCTTCAAAGGACTCTAAAGAAGAGTCCTTTGAAAGTGAATGGATAACTCACAGAATGGGCATGAGATTTGTCAACCAATGTATTTACAGGGGACTTATAACTAGAAGAATTCTTATAACCTATGATAAAAAAAGACAACCCAAAATAAGCCAATTAAAAATGGGCAAGGTAGGTGTGGTGGCACATGCTTGCAGTTCCAGAACTGAGGAGGCCGAGGGAGGACCACCACTCTGGGTTTCACGCCAGCTTGAACGGCAAAGTGAGAGCCTATCTCAAAGGTGGGGGGGGTTGGTCTGAATACATGTTTGTTCAGAGAAGACACACAATTGGATGAAAAGTACGCAAAAACCAAAAACAATGAGTGGTTTTTCTAATGTACAGCATAAAACAGCAAGTGATGGCAAGTATGAGGCAGAACTGTAGCCCCTTGGGCACTGCAGGTGAGAATGTAAAACGATGCTACCACTGCAGGAAACGTCAACATAGAACTGTTGCACCTACCAGTCCCACCCTAGGTGCACACCCAAAGAATGAACAGAGATGCAAGCAGACAGTTATCATCACACACAGGCAGCACTATTCACAACAGCTAAAAGGTAGAAACAACCCAAATGTCCATCAACAAGATCAATGTGTTATCAAAATGCGATACATACACACTATGTATGTCACCATGGCATCTTTTTCAGCTTTTAGAAGAACAACATTCTGACACATGCCGCCATGTGGATGAACCTTGAAAACATTGTATTAAGTGAAAAAAAAAACCAGAGACTAAAGTATAAGTATTACATGATTCTACTTGTAGGACGTACCTAGAATAGCCAAATTAATAAAGGCAGAAAACAGAACAGAGGTGATCAGGATTTGGGAGTTGTTTAATGTAAGTGTTGTTTAAACTCTGAGTACTGAGTTTACATTTGGAACGATGAACAAGTTATAGAAATGGATTATGGTGATGGCTGCACAACAATGTGAATGTATTTGATGCCACTGAATTATATACTGGAAATGGTCAAAAGACAAATTTCCTGGGTATTTTCGCATAATTTTTAAAAGGACAATGAAATATTACTTCACATTCTCCAGTATGTTGATGATGTGAAAAAACTGAAATCATCACACATTCCTCAATGTCAAATGAGGCAGCCTCTATGGGAAATGGCTTGTCATTTCCTTAAAATGTTAAAAATAGATTCCCTATATGACCCAACAATTCTACTGCTCAGTTTATACTCAAAAGAAATGAATATATATGTCTACACAAAGACTAAAATATATGAATGTTCATAACAGCATTATTCATAATAGCCCAAAGTGCAAATAACTCAAATCCTATAAGCTGCTTAATGGAGAAGTAAAATATGATATGTCTATTGATGGGATATTAGTCAGCAATAAGAGGGAATGAAGTATTAATACTTGTTACAGTATCATGAGCCTTAAAAACATGCAAGGTGAAAGAAGCCAGTCACAAAAGACCACATGTTGTTTGACTCCACTGATATGAACTGTCCACAGTAGGCAAATGTGTAGAGATCAGACATATACTGGAGGCTGGCTAGGTACAGAGGGAGCTGGAAAATGGGGAGTGACTGCTACTGAGGTGATGTAAATGTGCAAAATTTCTTGCAGGGATGGTTGCTAACTCAAGAATATACTAAAAACAACCGAATTATATGCTTTAAATGTGTGGCTTGTATCTCATTAAAGTTGTTCTTTAAAAACAATAATAGACAAAAATAATGGTGTATATGTATTTAGATTTAGAATTATCTAGTATGTTACAAGTTGGTAAGAACTATGAAGAAAACTGAGAAAGTAGAAGAGTGGCCATGGTGAGTCAGAGTGATATGAAGAGGTTCTCACAGAGGAAGTAAAGACTGAAAGAAGCCAGTAGAAGGAGCCATGGGGAGTAAGGTCCCAAGCAGAGGGAATGGCCAAGATACAGGCCTTGAGGCAGGGTTCTCCCTGGCACATCTGAGGACTAAGAGGCCAGCATGGTTAGAGGAGGTAGACAGGAGGAAAAGGGGTAGAGGGGCATGGAACTCCTAGGTAAGGCCTTATGCTCTGCAGGGCACCTTGCATGGGATCCCCAGCAAGGGGAGGGGGAATAGGCTCCATGAAGGAAAGGAAAAAGACTGAGGCAAAATTAGAGAGGAATAGTGGCTTCCCAGAGAACCACAGTGAGACCACTCCAGGAACTGAGCTCTCGGGTCAAAGGTCAGGGAGGAGATAGATAACAAGATTCCTTCTTCCTTCTTGCACAGGCCACAGCATTAGTGGGGACACACACACACACACACACACACACACACACACACGACACCTACCCGCTCATTCTCTGTCTCTCGACATGCCATCAGGATCACCTGCATAAAAGGGGTCAGGGGAGATGGCAACTTGAGTTAGAGGAAACAGTGTCACAGGAAGACACACTCAGAATCATGCCCCTCTCTCTCCCCCAAATCTGACCTTGACCCCAAACTCCCAGACCAGGCGCCAGAAGTCTAGCAAGGTGTGCAGCAGGGGTCCTTGTGTGGCGATGTAGGCCTGGCTTCCATCTGCACCCTGAGAAAGGCCCATTTACTGTGAAGACCTCACTACCCCTACCACACCCAGTCCTCCCCTTTCCCTGACCACTAGCCTGACCCGAATGAAATTGCCATTGATGTAGTCGCCATGTCCCTCCTTCTGGAGCAGGGAGAGGATCACTCGTGTCCGATCATCTGCCAGTGAGTAAGGAGAGAGACTTGGAGTTTGGGTTAAAAACGGCAGGAGAGCTGGCAGGGAAAACCACACACGGGAGCGCTGGTGGCCAGCGGGGTGCGTGTAGACACCTGCAGTGTGGCTGGGAGTGTGCACAGCAGCACCTACTCCTTCCCAAGCCCGCGACTTACATGGCACCACGTCTCGGTAGCGGTTCTTCCTCACGTTCCTAGGTAGATTGCCTGTCTCTGTGGAGCATACATCCTCTGTCTTCCAGGCATCGGAGCAGGCCCTGATGTCCTGGAGGGAGGCAGGGTGTGTGAGTAGGAAAGGCGGAGAAAGAGGAGGGGAGTCAAGTCAGAGTCCTGGACATCAAGGCACTCATAAGATAGGGAACGCACATCTTGGTGAGGTCAGTGCTGACCCCGCACCACAGCCGCAGGACCCTACAGAGGTGAATACTATTCCTGTCCTCCTTGCACAGGTGAGAGAACTCATGGAACTCGGGACTGGAAGATTTGCCAAAGCCCCCACCCAGGAAGCACGGGATGAGAGTGGACCGGAGACCTCTGTGTACCTACTCCACACCCCCTCAGTTCGTGTCACATTGTATTGTAAACAATAATAATGTAATTAAATAGGGACTGGGGGTGTAGCTCGGTGGTAGTGTGTGCGATGTATTATTTAATATAACAAAACAAATGGTATTACAATATGTACTACAGGGAGTTATGCTGTGTCACAGGTACTTTGTTACAGGTGGGTTATTTATGACTGAAGAGTGCATTATGGTTGTCAAGTATTTATAATCACAGTGATAATGAATGAGTAACACCTACCAAGCCTCCATCGTGTGAGAGTCACCATTCCGAGTCCTGCACTAGTGCTCATGGGGTCATTTGGGCCTCCTTGGACACAGGCGTCCAGGAAACGACCTCCTCCTCAGAGGAGAAACCAGCGGGAGGCAGGCTGGACAACAGGGGGGGCACTCCACCGAACCTTCCTCATAGGGCACTCAGCGCTGTTTGGAGGCTGAATCTTCACATCACACGTGACTGTTTACTGTTCTATATATCTTCATATTTATAAGTTATATATTTTACATTTATTACGCATTTCTAATTTTTATACTACAAAATTTCACGTGTACATTTTGTTTTATATTCATCTGTACTATTTACTGATGACTGAATAACCATGGCTTTTTAATTAACATTTATGCTAGCGTATTGTTTTATGAAGTTTTTTGTGTAAACTGTCATTTAAATCACATTTATTTTTTTAAAATCACATTTATTTTCATAAACATATTTCTAAATTAGACACATGCATTGTTTACATATTTGCATAGTATGCTTCTATATTTATTTGTTTGTTTGTTTTGGTTTTCTGAGACAGGGTCTCACTATGTCGTTGAGACTGACCTGGAACGCATTATGTAGCCCAGGCTGGTCTCGAACTCACAGCAATCCTCCTGCCTCAGCCTCCCGAGTGCTGGGATTACAGGCGTGTGCCACCACGCCAAGCTATGCTTCTATATTTGGTAATACGTTATTTTTTATTTTTATTTATTCTTTTGGTACTGGGTATCGAACTGGGGTCCTTGAATTTAGCGAGGCAGGCTGCGGAACTACTGAGCTACATCCCCCGCCCTAAACTTTAACTATTTCATTACCTGTAGAATGCTGTGCCTCTGGAGCTACATTAGCATTCATTGGGCTTGACTTAGTTACTACTGCATTGCTTAGTGTCTCTGTAAATGGTGACAGTGACATCCACGAAGTGAGCGGCAAGGCCTTTTTGACTCCACCGTACCGTGTACATACTCTCAAGTCAGTTGGGTCATTAACTTAAAGGAGAAACAGAGGCCAGACGAAAGAGTAAACCGCCCAGAGTCACAGCCCGGATTAGCCGAACGCTGATCCAAAAGTAACGTCTTACCCAGGCACCGCAGGCTCCGGTCCCTCTCGTCCCTTGTCCAGTCCCTCAGTGGGATCGCAGGGATGCCCAGGCCGCCCGGCCGCAGGTACTCGGCCCTTTCCCGCTACGCCCGCGCCCGCCCGCC